AACTGGGATTTGTCTTGGAACCTGCGTACCGAGGGTTCAAGGGAAGTCCATCTTCATGATCTAAGGGCATTGACAAATTTAGATGTGCTCAGCCAAGCGCAGGTCTCCCTTCCGCCCCTAGTTCGACTGTATTCAGTGCTTACATGTCACTCTTTATCGTACAGCTTCGCTCTAAACCACAAATTCTACATTTCAGTCATGCCGTCCCAACCAGCCTGGGCCAGAGTAGCCGCAGGTTCCTCCGTGAATTCCGATATACCATAGCTGGTCCTTGTCATTCTCTCTACGTCCTTCTCATTCTTCGTACGTAATCATATAGCAAAGTTGCGTGTTAAGAAAGCCTCTCGACTGTTTTTAGAACACATGTCCCCGCTCACACCCGTCTTGGACTCTTGGGAGGAACAACTAAATTAGGAATTGAGCTATTGAGCCGACGATGAGTCACAGAAGCTGCAAAAAGACAGGGGCATACGTATGACTCAGTAGTTCGGATTTCTCTGCTAAGACACGGACTTTTCGACTTTTCGCAGGCGAGAAACGGCCAGCCCGCAGACTCGAAAGCCAAAGCTACAGCAACGCGGTATCGCTGGACTTCAGTATTAGGGGTATTCCCGTCTTTAAGCTTGGGTTCCGGGCAACTATTCCTACTTCAAGCTGTAGTTATTGAGAAAAGACAGCCGTTTGCTCCCTATGAACTCGCTCTCTCTCTCTCTCTCTCTCAGATATCAGGGCAATGCAAGGAGCCGGTGATAACAAACAAGCAGAGACTCTGTCAGGGAAATGGAAGGCACAAATTCATGGTGTAAGTTGTGATTACTAATATGACTCGAATCTGGGCGAAACCCCGCCACCAGCGGCGTCATTATCATGTGACTTTATTGATAAGCCCCGCGCTCGCCTTATCGGCCGGGTTCATGATTTTTTTTTCCCCATCGACGAACAACCCCGCCATACACCGAGCCCAAACTGCCCAAGAGAGCCCCTTGTCGCCTCATTTTCCCAGAACATTTCCCTCCTCTACATCGACAAGGAATTAGGCAGTGAGGGCCAAATAGACGAAAATATGAGTACCAACGCCACGATTCTCTGCTGCAACTGCGGCGCTCCCATCGACGGAACCACCGCCGCCAACGCCCTCTGCTTCGACTGCATCAAGTTGACCGTCGACATCTCCCAGGGCGTCCAGCGCGAAGCCACCCTCAACTTCTGCAGAGATTGCGAGCGCTGGCTGCTGCCGCCCAGCAGTTGGATCGTCGCCGCTCCCGAGTCCCGCGAACTCCTCGCCCTCTGCCTCAAGAAGCTCAAGGGCCTGAACAAGATACGCATCATCGACGCCTCCTTTGTGTGGACGGAACCCCATTCGAGACGAGTCAAGGTCAAGATCACGATCCAGGACGAGGTTCAGAGCGGTGTCCTTCTTCAGCAGGCCTTTGAAGCGATCTACATCGTCGCGTACCAGCAATGTCCCGACTGCGCAAAGTCGTACACGGCCAACGTGTGGCGCGCCTCCGTCCAGGTCCGGCAAAAGGTCCTGCACAAGAGGACGTTCCTCTACCTCGAGCAGTTGATCATGAAGCACGGCGCGCACAGAGATACCCTCAACATTAAGGAAGCAAAGGACGGAATCGATTTCTTCTTCTCGGCGAGGAATCAGGCCGAAAAGTTTTGCGATTTCCTCCACTCCGTTGTGCCTTGCACGTCCAAGAAGTCGCAGGAGCTTATTTCGCAAGATATCCACACTTCGACAAAATCTTTCAAGTTCACCTTTTCAGTTGAAATCATCCCCATTTGCCGTGACGATCTTGTAGCTCTGCCCATCAAGCTGGCGAGGGCATCAGGCAACATTTCTCCCCTCGTTATTTGCCACAAGATCGGAACCGCAGTATACCTCTTCGACCCCAACACCCTCCAGACCGCAGATGTCAGTGCTCCCATATACTGGCGCGCACCGTTCCGCTCCCTTGCCGACGTCAAGTCGCTTGTTGAGTTTATCGTCATGGACATTGAGCCGACGGGCATCACAAAGGGCAAGTGGCATCTCGCAGAGGTGCAAGTAGCCCGCGCCTCCGACCTGGGCTCAAACGACAAGACCTACTTCGCGAGAACACACTTGGGTGGGCTGCTTCACGCCGGTGACTCGGTCATGGGCTACATGCTCACGGGCACCAACTTCAACAACGAGGAGTTTGACGCCATTGAAGAGTCGCACGCCTACGGCTCGACGATACCCGACGTCATCCTGGTCAAGAAGCACTACCCCAACAGAAGAAAGCACAAGAACCGCAACTGGAAGCTCAAGCGCATGGCTAAGGACGAGGGCGAGTTGTTGCCCAAGCAGGCTGACCAGGACCGCATGAACGAGGACTACGAGCAATTCCTGCGCGACGTCGAGGAGGACGACGAGCTGCGCGCGACGATGGCGCTGTACAAGTCACAACAGCCGCAGCAGGTCGATCCGGATGCCATGAGCATCGCCGAGACCGAGGGTGATGAGGGCGCGCCGAGAGTGGACATGGATGAACTGCTCGACGACATGGACGAACTCCAGATTCAGGATTAAGCGTTGAATGTCCGTCTTCCGAGAGTGGAGGAGGGGGAGGGGCGTGTCCTCTATGGACGGGACAAAGTTGGGACGTGTCTCCTTGAGGTCCCCGACGATTGTTGGCCCCGAGGCAGTGTTAAGGTTAAGTGGCCGTCTGCGGGGAGGAAAGTTGTTTCCCTACGAGATGGTACGTGGACAGGTTTGGTTTCTTAGGCAAAAAGAAGAAGAGAGGAAGGGTATCTCTCTCTCTCAAAAATGGATGGGATGGTTTCAAGGATGGGGTGGCAAGGCGTGTATGCATCATCAGATACCTTTGACTGAGACTGCGACGCAAGTGAAAAGGCGTTTGCGTTTGTCGTTGGGAGAAAAAAGACTATACTACTAGATCACCACGTGGCTCATGCGTCCGCCTTGTCTTGTTGCGTTTCTCTGCACTTCTCTGCCGTTCAACCGCCACATCTCACGATCCATCGCCGTTAAGCAGGGATCCAGTCTCAGAGCTGTCGGCGATGTGCCATTTCGACTTGTCCGAGCTCTCTTCATGCGCTCTTCCCACTGCTCTCCTACTGCCTCTCGACGTCCCGTGCCCTGCACTCCATTCATGGACAACGTCGTACGTGCGTCCGGCAGCAAAGTCGTCGCACGGCCCTCGGCAGGGGCTCCCGACTTATACCATTCACACCCTCCCCTACGTACCACCATACCGTACCACCATGATTACCCACCCAAGAGCACATCGACCTTCCCATCAACGATCCAACGTCCGTGCCTTCTCCCTCGGTTTCCCAAAGAGGGTGCCGACTGTCTGGGACTGCCGACCTGACTGTTTCTAATCGCCGACTCCAGCGGGCTTAAGCACAGCAAGTCGCACCACAAACTCGGCACCCCCCAGACCCTTTACCTTAGTCATGAGCCTCATGATCCTGTCAGCCCATCAACAAATGAGCCTATGGCCTGTTCTTTCTGCCTGTTCATTCGAGAGGCGGGCAGCCTCCCCTACTTGCCTATATTCAGCACTGGACGCTCGATGGACCGCGACCCGGCCGCCGCCGACTCTAGGAGCTACGCCCTCTGCCTAGGACCAGAGACGGCGTCGTTGTTTCAAGTCAATGAAACCGACGTGGCCCGTCCTCCTCCTCCTACCCTCAGGCTTCCCCAGAGTCTCCATGGACTGGTTGGACTCAGCCTTACCCTTCCTCAGGTCCCCCCGACCCCGGACCCGAGCCCCAGACAGCCTACAGGCGCCGCCGGTTAAACGGGAGTAAGAGAGCTGTCGGCACTTCCCTTTCCCCAGACTTTGACCACTCAGACCGTAGACGTGTCCGCTCCCAGTCGAGGCTCTTCACACACACCCCATCCATCATGAGGTAAGCCTCCACCTCCACGCTTCCCGACCACGACTGACTGGCAACATCGATGAGACGATGGGGGAAGGAGGGAGGAAGCGGGATGCCGACGGGGACCTGACTGTCGGGGCCATGCGCACGGATTTACAGTTTCCTGAGGTTTCCCATGATGGTGGTAGGGTGTGCGTTGTTGCTCAACGTTCGTTTCCACCTTGTCCGCTCACAGGTCAAGGCGGACTCCGACGGACGGGAGGCTCTCACGGCGGGCGACGGCGGCTTGGTTTACTCCATTTGGCCGGGGTGGGCTCGGCGAACGGCACAAGTGAGAGTGGAGACCTGCCTGCGTGGGCGCGCGCAACGGGTGTTGCCTTTTTTGCGTTTGAGGCTTTTGGAGATCGGGGTTGCTGCCATCTGATCGAGATGCTGTAGACGGATACTTTGTTTCTTGGTCGCCGGTCAAAGTTGGCGCGGCGCTGCTGTGTTGGCGATAACTACGGTTTCGTGTGAGTAGGAATACGAATGCCTTCAAGGAGAAAAATTCTTGATCATGGGATATGCCTCAGCTTAGTGTTAGTTTCGTCGAGTTTGCAAGTTCACCTGGTTTGCTTTGTGGTGAGCTTGGTGGACCCAAGTTAGTTTACTGTGAGGCCGAGGCTGAGGGGCTGCTGTTGAGGTAATCAAGATCGCCGCCGCGGCTGACAAGGATCTCTACACAATGATTAAATGTTGCGAGAAACCAATGGAAGGTCTTTCCGGGACTGACCTGTTACAGTGTCGCGCTCCATTCTGTGCTTTTGCGCGGTTTGTTGAGCCTCAAGTTGGGCGTTGCGCTAATACTAAAATGCCCATGTTAGCGCCGGCTATTGCAACCACTTTACTTCGAGCAGCTTCTTCGTCTGAGTTTGAAGACATCACTTCATCATATCTTTTCATGCCAAGTCAGCAGCTCGCCAAGTGTGCAGCTCGTCGCGGAGCCGAGAGTGGTGTAGACGAAGCATTCGCATTCGCTCCGTTATGCAGCAACATACTTCACAGTTCGAAAGGGTCTTCATGCTGGCGAGTACAGACGACACGCATCATCCCGCTTGAATACCACCGCAATATCCAACTGCGCATGATTCGTCTGTAAGATTAAGATAGACCTAGAGGACGTCATTGCATCGTCTCTTTTCATGCCAAGATGCCAGACAGACCGCCCACCTCAGCCGTACAAGATGGTGACCCAGTAGCTCTCGCATTCGTAGTCCGGCAGTCGGCCATCGATGCCCACCTCCACGTACACTTGCAACCACACACCGCAACATCCCGAGGCTGCCGGTCCATAGGGCTCTCATTTTTCATCTTATGATTTTTGAAAGTCTCATTATGCTCCCTATTACCAGTAACATAAACGGCGATAACGTCGAACGCCGAACAATAAGCGCACACCCTACCCTCCTCATCAGAAGATCTTCCCAAGCACCCTCGCAACATCACCTGCCGGCTTCGCAGCCGAGCCAGCCTCGCTTTTCCTATCCGCCAAGGGTATCTGCTTAAACACCGTCCGCCTCTTGTCCAGCTTCTCGTCCGCCGCCGCCGTCGCAGCACCGCCGGCAAAAGAAGCCCCCACTTCCGTCGCCGCAGCCGCCTTGCCGCGCTTCTCCCTCGTTGCAGCAATGCCGTCCAGCACCCGGGCCTTCTCCACATTGCGCACAAACTCCTTGTTCTCCTTGCTCGCCTTGCTAATCTCAGCCCGCATCCTACTCGTCCGCTCCATGTTCTCGGCCGTGATCTGCTCCGTCAGGTGGCGCCACTTGAACCCCTTGAGGTACTTTAGTGTCCAGATGTCGTCGTGGTAGTACGACCCTTTCTTGCCGCCAATGGTCCGCGCGTTGAGCAACTCGCAAACGGCCTTGGCGTCCTTTTTCCGCATGAACTCGACCCAGCCCTCTGTGTACAACTTCTTTTTGTTGCCGCCGGCCTTGACGCGGCGCGTGTGCGCGGTCGGGTCCTCTGGCGCGAGGAAGATACGGTTGACCTTGCCGTAGGGCTCGAGGAGAGAGCGCAGCTTCTGGGGCTTCATGAAGGGCGGGATGCGCGAGATGTAGACGACGCCGGATTTCTTGATGGCCTCTTCCGTCGCGACGAGGTTCTTTTTCGTGAGGGGCTTGGAGACGTCTGGGAGGTCTAGCTTTGTCGAGGTTGATGAGGACTTTTTCTTGTTGGTCGAGGTTGAGGCTTCCGTATCATTTTCTCCGTCGGCGCCTTCATCGTCGCTCTCTGCGTCTTCTGCGTCCTTTGTGACATTCTGCTCTTCGTCGCTAAAGTCGTCCTCGTCTTCGCTGTCGACTTTGCGCCTCTTGGCGCTGCGGCCTCCCTTGCGCAGCTCCTCGGCCTCGGAGTCGTAGCCCTGATCGAGTTCGTCGTCACTCTCGTCTGCGTCGAGGAATTTGTTTCGTTTTTCGGGGGGCATGGTGGGCTTTTGGGATGTAATATCAATGGTTTGTGGGTCCTCAAAGTATTGAAAATGCTAGCAACAGCAAGATGTAATCCCCCTGCTACAGCCTTGTTGGTAGCCTCGTTGTCGGCGGTAATGCAACTGTCGTTGTACAAGATGCTTAATGTGAAAGTCCGCGATCTCAGCCACTGTGCGCGGTTCTGCAAAAAAATTAGAGCGGGCCTTATCGCTAATGTCTTATCGGGGGGTGGTACAGATTGATTACATCATCTTCTTATCTTACCGCGTTCCCCACAAGCGCGGTCCGGCAGGTCACAAGTGCGGCGGTTGCCCCTCCATGTCATTGCCCCTCCACCTGCCCCTCAGTGAGCTCACGATTCATGAAGGGGGATATCTAAGCTGCGAATTGCCTCCTGATCATTAACAACTGGAACTCAGTCCCTTTTTCTCTTCATACTTTTCTTCAATCTGAACCTTTTTGATACCCCGTGAAGAAGAGAATCATCCAACATGTCTGTCGAAGTCCTCAAGACCATTTCCCCCACCACTAACGAGGCCATCCTCACCCGGAATGGCGTCTCCCAGTCCGACTTAGATGAGCTTCCCAACACCGCCACCAAGGCTTTCGAGTCATGGAGCAAGACCTCGCTGGCCGACCGCAAGACCATCGTCAAGAAGGCCCTGAGCCTCCTTCTCGAGCAAAAGGATGACTTGGCTCAAGAGCTTACCGTCCAGATGGGCCGTCCCTGCGCCTACACCGGCGTCGAAATCGCCACGGCGGTGAAGCGCGGCGAGTACCTCCTCAAGATTGCCGATGACGTTCTCAAGGACACCGACGGCGAGGCTGAGAAGGGATTCAAGCGCTTCATTCGCAAGGTTCCCGTTGGCCCGGTTCTTGTTCTCTTTGCCTGGAATGTGGGTTTTTGTCTCCTACTTGCGTGGCTCCTCCCGCTACGTGGTGTCCGCAGCATGGTAGTGAATGTTCCATTGCTGTGAGACAACGCGAACTGCTGAGCCACCACCACGATACCCCTGTCTCCTTTGCTAACATCATACGCCCCAGTACCCGTACCTCATTCTGGTCAACTCGCTCATTCCCGCGTTGTTGTCTGGCAACACCGTCATCTTGAAGCCCTCACCGCAGACTCCGACCATTGTGGAGCGCGTGGCCAAGGTGTTTGAGGAGGCCGGTCTCCCGGCTGGCGTGCTGCAGTACTTCCACTGCGGTTCTCCCGTCATGATCGAGTCCATCGTGCGTAATCCCAAGGTGAAGCTCGTAGCCTTTACCGGCTCCGTGGCCGGTGGTCTGGCTGTGCAGCAGGCTGCGTCAGACCGTGTCGTCAACGTCGGTTTGGAGTTGGGAGGAAAGGACCCGGCCTACATCCGCAGCGATGTGGACATTGACTGGGCTGCGGCCGAGATTGTCGACGGCGCCGTCTTCAACTCGGGACAGAGCTGCTGCTCCGTCGAGAGGGTGTACGTTGACGACAAGATTCACGATGCCTTTGTCGAGGCCGTCCAAAAGGTTCTCAAGGGATACGTGCTCGGAGACCCCTTTGACAAGGGTACGCACGTTGGCCCCGTCATCTCGAAGCGTTCCCAGGAAGCCATCGAGTCGCACATCAAGGACGCCCTCTCCAAGGGCGCCACTGACGCAACCCCCGAGAACGAGTCCTTCAGCAACCCCCCGCCCAAGGGCAACTTTGTCAAGCCTACACTCCTCACGGGTGTGGACCACTCGATGACGGTGATGACGGAAGAGACGTTTGGACCGGTGATTCCCGTTCAGCGGGTCCAGAGTGACGAGGAGGCTGTCAAGCTCATGAACGACAGCGAGTTCGGCCTCACTGCCAGCATCTGGACCAAGGACACGGACCGCGGCTACGAGCTCGCGGACCAGGTCGAAGCAGGAACCGTCTTCGTTAACCGATGCGATTACCCCAGCCCAGTGAGTACCCTACAACAAAACATGTCATTTCTTACCTTGGTGATCGTCCGATCTATATTCTGCCCGCTCCGATGACTATCTTCCGTGGTGTTTGCCTCCGGTCCCCACCCTTCCCTCTTTCCTAGCCCGATGCCCCCTCCCGCCCCGAACGCTAGAGTTGGCAAAGTGGTTAGGAAGATCCGACTCGAGGCGGGTAGCCGCACGTTAACTTGTCCTTCTCTTTTGTTGTTTTATCTACCTGCCGGCTTTGCAAAACTCTATCAACTTGCAAGTCGTTTTTTTCCTTCCCACCAGCCTGCAAGCCATCTTCGTCATCAAGCCACCGCCATCATCCTTCCTTCAGAAACTTCGGTACTGACAACTCTTTTAGGACCTAGCGTGGACGGGTTGGAAGAACTCCGGCAAGGGGCAGACCCTAAGCCGCTTCGGCTACGATCAGTTTGTCAAGCTCAAGAGCTACCACTTGAAGGACTACCCCAAATAAGCGGTAGTTTCATAGCAGTCCTCCTTCGCGTGAGCCCATCTGCGCCCGCTTCTACCGGCTTCTCGGTGTCAAGTGGGAAGCTTGGGTAAGGAGGAGGAGGGTGTGTTGGTGATGCTGTCGAGATGGTGTTTTGCTTGGTGGAGAGAAGAGATCGCGGCGGGATATGTTGCCTAGGGTCGAGGAGGCTCTATGTAGTCATGACTGTCTCTGCCAGGAAACCTCAGTCCTGGGTCCCAGGCTTTCTGCTAGACTCGAGTCCACGTCAGGGACGGCGTTTCTTCAGCGCACAGGCAGCCGCTCCTCTTGTGGACACTAATATGGGTAGCCTCCGAGACTTGACAAGACTTGACAAGTTTGTGAAGCAATGGGCTGCCGGATGTCTGTGTCACGGTTGGGCTGAGCCAGAGCATCGGGGAGGATGCACGATGGAAAGTGGAGTTGCACGATCACGATATTGTTAACGCTTGGAAAAATCAAAGATACCTCTTATTTTTTTTTACCCTCACCTCACCTCAGTCAGCCTGCACCAAGCCAAGGAGCGGACGCAACTAGAGAACCTGCCATGTGATGTGACTACTTTTCAAACTCGTATGAAGCAAGAAGTAGGCACCAGGCTCAAGCAATGGCATGATCAACCCAACCCGCCGACAGCGTCAAGTGTCAGTGTCACTCACGTCAACGGCGCTGGTACGCTCAGATGGTTCATCATGTCGGGTTGGAAATCATACCACTTAGTGTACAGTAGTGGGTGATCTGTGTGTCCCAAGCATGATTGCTCTGTCTGCTGTCTAACCCTTACGTCCCCGATGAGCTGGCACGCTAAACTCCCCCCTTTTCCCTCGTGTTCTTATTTTCCTCTGCATCTGTCTCCATTCCCGACGCCGGCTCCGTGATCCCACCGTGGGCCCACGGCCGCGCTCGGAGCATGCGAGTCTCGAAGACGGCAGGTAAATTCGCAGATCAATCAGCGTGGCAGCGTGGCATAGGCATGGCGAATTCCGAGATCGAGGCTGTGAGTGGTCAGTTTGCGATGCCGCTGTTGCGATGTGATGCGTTCGTGCGTTTGCATGCCCCGAGTGTGTATCCGCTTTCGGCATCTACACACGTTCTCTATCTCCCTTTTGTTTACTACGCTTTCTGTCTGGGCGTGAGAATGGCGTGGAGGAGGCGTGTGCAGCAGTCCGAGGACGGGGAAAGGGGGACGTGTCATCATTTCTCTCCCCCTCCCTTGCATGGCGGATACAACGCACATATAGAAAAATAAGCTCAAGCTCAACACGGAAACGGCGCGAGGAAACCACTTGTCGTCTCGTTATCGCGACCGGGGTTTCCTACCCGTGCTGGTATCCTCATGAGACGAACGACTTCTTACGGGGGCTAGGCCTGTTCGTAAATGCTATAAACTCTATGCTTCTGAGTAAGTCGTAGGGAGAGTATGGAGCATGAGTAATGTTCCGTTGGGTACGACAGAGACAGACACACACGACTGTTAAAGGTAAAAAGGCAGAAGGGAGAAAAAAAGTGAAAATCACAGCCAAGACAGCTAAGCATCGAAACACCATGCAAGACCCTTGAAACCTGGAAACCTCGAGTGCAAGATCTCCCGAAAGCCTCGTGAAGCTTTCCTTCGTGCGTCGTCTCGTCGCATTCAGACAAAAGTGACAGACTGTTGTTTAGTTCTAAATTTTTTTTTTTTTGGACGTTGAAGCCAAAATTGTGTCAGGTACGGCTCCGGAAGCGTCTTACAACATGTTTGAAGGAGGCAAGATTTCGGAGGCGAAAACAAGAGCCATATGGAGGTTTCTCCCGACTCGTGCGAGACATATTCTGCAGGAAAGCTTGACAATACTGGTCCATCTCTTGAATTCTGTACTGTCCCAATTGCGGACAGTAGGTAGGTATACGAGAATCAACATCCTTTCACGTTATGGACCCTCCGAATTCTGGAAGCAAACATGAACGTTTGGAAAGAGCGTGCGGGCGGCCGCGCACGCGTGGGATGTCTCTCGAGTTTAAACAATGGAAAGCTTGCGTGGCAATGGCCGAGAACATCGCGAGGATTTTCAAGGATTCGTCTCCAGTGTGTGAGTGAGTGGTTTTAATGGAACCCTTGCGGAATTTGTCTCATTGCGGACATGGACGAAACAAAACAATATCGCATGAGGCATACTGCCATCGTTTCAGTGGGAAGATAACGACTTTTTTCCTTCCTTCTCTTCTACGGTACGCCGCAATAAAACCGTCGACTTGCTCGAATGCGGTCGAAAAATATAACAAGGATGGAGACATCGTCGGCCGCTGGGCGAGGCAAAAGGTGGAAAGGGGGGAGAGGGCGTGTTCGTTCGTAGGTCAAAGATGGTGCTCGGAGGGTCTCAGTCGTTTCCTTGAAGCTTTCCTCCGTACGGACGCAGTGGCACAAGGTGCGGTACTACAGAGCGGGATGGGCGGATGGGAATAGTGAGGAGACAAGAGAAGAAGTTGAGAATTTACCCTGCTTTCGTGCTTCGCCCCGACGTTGGAGTCTTGAAACTTTCCGCAAACGGAATATACGATGGTTTTGATGCTGTGTTTGCCAAGTTTGAGAGTGCATCGTACGCTACACCAGACTTATGAGAGCCGCACGATGAGGAAGAAACTGCCGATTGGGGGGTTAATTGGGCCCTTGGAGGGGCTTGAAGGAAGGCCTTGGCAAGTCATCAAAGCCAAGAGCAACTGCCGCGTTCAGCCATGTTGGGGCTACTTGGACGAGGCTATCTTGGGTCGGTGATCCGTCCGTGGTGTTGGTGTTGTCGATATCGATGCATCGGGCAAGATGTCAAGATGCTCGACGGGTGTGTGTCTCCACTATCAAGACCGA